AGAATGATTTCTGCCACTTCTTCACTGCCCCCCTTTTCCAAAGCAGTAATGGGTGCAGCACTTTTCAAACACCCACCTTGAAATGAGGCRCACTTTTTTTGTTTCTTATCCTGTAAATGTTTTGTCTCTTGAACCCAGACCTTGCTGAGGTGTCTCACATGTGACAGCTATGGCCAAGGCTCTTTCAGTAGAGTAGTTATGTCCTAAACTGTGCTACCAAGAATAAACACTGTATTGAGCGTAAGTGCCAAAAGAGAAAAAAAATCCCTCCCTTTCATTTTTTTCTTTCCTTGCAAGGCTAAACATGCTGTCTTTGGAAAGATTTCCATCCTGCTTTAATTCATTAAAAAAGTGAAACAAAATCACCATTTACATCCTTGACAGCTGGCAGGTTTTATGTGTTCTTACTGCTCCTGCCAAGTCAAGAAAAGTTTTCATTCAGCTCAGTCATGGATCTTTGGAGTGCTGGAAGTATGAGAGATGTCAAGATGTACTCATAACAATGACATACAGTACCTGAAGGCAGGAACGTATTATGCTAATGTACTGGTGTAAAGGAAGTTACAGTTCTACTTTTTACTAAAGCAAAAAAAGAAAACAAAACCAAATAAAAACAAAAAAATAAGTAAAATAATAAAAGGAGGAGGTGGGGCTGGAGAGGAAGCCACAACAACATCAGAAAAACATACCACTCCCAAAAGAGGGAGCTTTGTGCTTTCTACAAAGTCATCTGACATGTTCCAAGAGCTTTCTGTTAATCAGGTTGCATGCTAGCATGTATTAGAGGAAAAAAAAGAAATAGAAATCTTATGCTTGTTAGCATTTCTTGATTCTTAATTCCTATTGCTTCTTGGAAAGCGGAATGGTTTTTCATTTCACGGGCTGGGAAGGGCYTCCAAAGTGCTGCGGGCAGATGTGCCTTTGCTACAGGCCCTCCTAATGACACTGAGAAGGATGCATGGGTTCTCTAGTAGGAACAGTTTGTCCTCCTGTGTGATTATTTTTGCAAAATGTGGCACAACAAGGCACTGACCAGTAACACTGCAGTGATTCAAATGCAATGATAAGCAATACCGTGCTTGAGCAGGGCATCAATGGACCAGATGATCTCCAGAGGTCCCTTTGAACCTCAACCAATCTGTGGAAGAAAAGCACAAAATTATATGTATCTTCTGCAGGCGTTTAACGTCCCTAGGAAGACAACAGCAGAAAGAAAAAGCCTTCCAACTAATGAATAAGCACTTGTGTACAGATGTGGGGCGTAATGCAAAACCCCAACATTTTATGCCATGGTGGTATCACATTACACGGCATATATATACCTGGCATGCATACAATCCAATCATTGGCATCCTGGCTGCCTACACTCAGCCTATTTCTTTGCCAGGAAGTAGTTGTATAGAAAAGTTTGGCAGCTGGTTGAAAACTGTGGCATTAGGTAAATTTAACTTGACTATGGTTCAACAAAATCTTAGTTGCCACTTGAATTATGATGGGGACAAAGATAAATTTGAAATTAGACCTGCTGATAATGCATTTCCTTGTCTCCCTGCCCATCTCTAGGAAATGCAAGGGTAAGTTAACTCCACCTAAGCACAAGTGTAAGGAGCAGAACTTTCCATTCCAACCTAGTACAGTTGTTTACATTAGGCAGAAACATTCTGAAAAAATGTCCTGTGATACAATTGCAGTGCACCATAGCTATCATTTCTAGAGGCATTTGGGAGGGAGCTCTTGCAGATTTCAGAGCTGAAGTTGCACTTGTGAAGGACAGATGCCAGACCATTATTCTTGGCTTTCAGATAGAAAATAGCTTATGGGCATAAGATGCTATTTACTACCTACAGTATATTTCAAAGAATAGCTATCTTGTCAATCACGTACTCTTTGTTTTACTTGACTAGGTCATTTTAATTTTGCTGTGGTTAGTTATTTTAAAATCAGTGTTATTCTATGATCAGCTACCCCTTATCTATGGTGGTGAGAATAGCTTGGGGTTGCAACTTAAAGACCACAAATATSACTTGTCTTGGCTCTGAAACTCTGAGACCCATAGGCACAGTCTTTTCTTACAAAATGCAATCATTATGGCATGCATGTAGCCCTAAGCTATTTCACTTATTAAGCCAACAACTGCTTAAAATGGCAAGCTGCTCTTGGAAAAATCAACTTGCTGCTTTTTGCCTGTACAAGATCCCTTTTGATACACATAAATTTTTAGAAAATCTAAGCCTAGGGCAATTGTCTACCTCTGAGATACAGTTACAACAAGATAATAAGTAGGCGCTCAGTTACATTTCTGTGCTCATCTTTACCACAGTATGTGGATGCAACAGGCAGAAATTATTTGTTCTGTACAAGGATAATGTAAAAAAAAAAAAAAAATGCCAGTGGAAAAGTGGCTTGCACACCTATCTCTCGTGAGGGAGAACATGAGAAATATTAGCCTGAAGGAACAGGCATAGCGTGGTGTCTTTTACCAAGACTGGTTCTGGGAAGCTTGAAAATGCCAGTGTCTAAGATTTACACACCTTAAAGTTTATCCACTTTAGGATTGCTCCATCTCAGGAATGAGTGTGGCACCCCAATTCTCAGTTGGCTGCACTCATTTTGTAAGTCCTCCTGCAAGCGCTAATGAGATGCAGTGTAATTTTCCTTTAGAAGAAAATCTGCTGCAAAGCAAGCATGTAGGAAACTGAAGGACATGAAAAGAAATGGCAAATATACAAAGCCTGAGAAACAGAGACTGCTGAAATTTATTTCTCCATGATTTTCTTCTCACTTGTGGAACCTACATGGAGCAATAGGACAATATCCTGGCTATGCATATGGCACTCTGAAAGGAAGTCTGACATATCGCCATGATTCACTGACATAAGTCTTAGTAAAATTAGACCTAAGCCAAGCCAGGGGCTGCTGAAGAAATTATGGTTACATTGATGTGACTGAGCAGACACTCTCTCCACAGAAGGAGACTAGAGAGTTGCTCCTGTCCTTTAACACAGAGAGTCATGACGGTGTATCCTCAAAGCAGCAAGCACAGAGGTGGAAAATACAGCACCACTGTGACAGGAAGATGGTGCTGGGATTACACTAACAGAAACGTGAGTAATCTCTCAATTTCTTGTTCTAAAAATGATTTTTTTTTCATAAGCTTTATACGTACTTTGAATGTCTGCTAGGAAGAGTGAGTCTTGAGGAAAAACATTTCTTCAGAATTACTTCTAGAGGAAGTGATGGGTTTTGGCTTTCTTTGTAGCCCAATCCGTGGGACTGGGAGAAATCCTCATATCCCAGTTATGAACTTAAGTCTACTACAGTGTATACAAATGGACAGTCAAAGCCTTCCTGCAAAGACAGGCTTTAGATAGTGGTGCAYCAGCCCCAGGTACAAACATGACCTTTCCAGCGATGATGGCTCTAACAGATAGCACCTCATTTCTGAGAACAGGCGCAGATAGTATCCATGCGTTTCCAATGCCGGGATTGTCTCGCTGTTCCCCTTCCCTGGCAGGCTGGAGCGTGGGGCTGCCAAACACTGGCCGGCTGCCTTTGGAAAGCAGCGCCTTCCCCGCGTTGGGATGTACGGTTGGATGTGTGTGGAGGGTTGGCAGCTGCGGAGGGTCTGGAAATCTTCAGATAAAAGGCGCTTTCTGAAAGTAAGGTTATTTTTATTATGGAGACGACGTGAACTTGTTTATTTTATTAGGTATCTTTTCAAATCATTTCATTATCCTATTAGTTGTTTTCGTAGGTTGTAGTCTAAGGGCACAATTTTGTGACTGCATGAAACCTTGACTCTTGCCAGATTCATTGTACAAACACCCTGAAGCTGTCTCTTCCTTAAATATATATCCAGAAGTGGGCTGGATGTGTTTGGGAAGTGGAAAGATACTTTGGAAACAAAGAGACCTCTTACTCAAGGTCTGTTTTTTGGGAGTTTTGTTCAGACATTTTCATTTTCTAAAATAGCTAATGATCCTTTGGAGACAGAAAAGAAAAAAAAAAAAGCCACACCATCCACTGAATGCCGACCAAATGACTCAACAGCTGATTCTAATCAGTAGAAGTTTGCTTCTGCCATATCAAGGTAAATATCAAAAACTGCAAAATTTGGTGATTGCACAACTGGAAATGTTCTGCTTTTCCACATTAAATATAATGGAATATTGGGCCTGCCAAAAACTGTATCTCAACACAATATAAATGGAGCCGTTGCAAAAATAATTAACCTATGGAACGTGTAGCCGCAGGGTTAGAGAGAAATTATATTGGGCTATAGAGAAACTGGGAAACCAAACAGTTATCCAGTATGAGCTTTTGGCATTCTGAAGTTGTTATCTCTCTGAATCAGGGAGCTAAAAGATGAAATGGTGCTAGAATTACAAAATATTTCTAGAAAGGAAAAATGCAACCTTTAAGAATGCATTTTACAGTAGAATACCTCTCTATAGAAAAATGATATTTTAAAATTTCTTTCTTCCAAAGAAAATAACACATAATATTACTAGAATCAACAGCTTGGTCGTAGTACAATTGCATTTGTTGAAACTGAGTTTTCAAGTTGAATTTTTTTTCTTTCAAAAATACGATCACTCCTGTCCTTTTCTCTTCATCAGGCACATCACACTGGCAGGAAACATGCCTCCATGGCTCTGGAAAAATGTGTGGCCACCCTCTCCATGTGCTGCAGTGGCCCAGAATTTCCAGGGAAAATATGTCTGAGCATCTCTGCAATTTGCTTACAACGTCTCACATCTCTTTGCATTAAATTCACCCTTCCCAGGGAGTTCCTGAGGATCATGCTTCACACTCTTTTTGTTGAAAAAACAAGAACAAATAAATCTAACACTCTTTGGGAGGCTTATTGTTGCAGTGTGATTTCTTAAGTATGTTGCTAGCATGTTTTACGACAATAAAATGCAAAAGCAGAAACCCTTGTAACAGACTAGGAAAGCTACTCTAAATAGTTGGGCGAATAGTTGGGCTGAGACAGATTCAAACTTCCTCCATGAGTGAGGTTGGCTGTTGCATGTTCCGGTATGAACAAAGACCTATAGAAAAACTGAGGAAATTAAAGAGTTAAAATGGAAATTATGAGAGTTTCTTAGCTAAATGATAAGATTTTTTGTTAACAGATTGCCAAAGTTACAGACTAGTATGTAAAAAGAGGCAAATTGACAAACTATCAGATAAAATTGCATTGTGAGAAACAGGAATTTACTTACATTTCTAAAATAATGGTGGCTCATTATCTAAGGAGCAGAATGGGAATTTTAGTGGCAAAAGGGAAGGATTTTTCTCTTCCTCAGTTTCCCACCACGGAAAAAAAAAGGACAAATAATGAAGACAAAGAGCAATGCAAGAGCTTACAAAGATGCAGAGTCAAGCTTACCTGTGGCCCACCTCCATACCAATCTTGTTTACCCATCAACACCTCAGGAGCAATTTCTTCTTCATTCACATTCCTCAACAGCAGTCTTTATTATATGGTGTACCACATCCTCACATTAATTAGCACTTCACTGGCAGGCTAAGTATCATTTTTCAAAAGGGCTGCAATTAACAAAATAAAACAAATCCCTTTTTAGTTCAAGCAGCAATGCTTCTTTCACGCTCTTCAAAGTGATGGTGTCAAATTGTTGCTTTCCTCTTGCAGCTTGCTGTAAACTAGCAACAATGGAAATATTTTCCAATGTGTGATGGTTTTCACTTGCCTAATGCCTTTCACCTGAATATTTTGAAGCACTTAGCAAAAGCAAAGGGTGGGGAAGGATATTGATTTTCTTTGATTCTCTTCAGTTTGTATGGGAAGTTGCAGGCAAAGAGGTGGTAAGAAATTTGCCTTAGGTTACTGAATGACTCATCAACAGAGTTAATAAACCCTATTTTTCTTGAGTCTCTGATTATTCTATTCACAAGATAATCCAGCAAATATGATGATTTCACTTGAATGTGAAATTTAGTAATATGTGTTTCTTGGAAAAAAAAAAAAGTGCTATTTGTGATGGGGAAACATCCTGGTTTCTTCATTGTGTTGATGTAATAAATTACCAATCTGCCCAACATTTGAGATGGATGCCAATGGCAAGCTAGAGTCAGGGTGCTGAATGACTCTCACACAATCACCCTCTTAAAAAGCTGTGCAGCAAATGCACAAATGCAAACAGGCTGGAAGGGGCCCCGTGCTACTGGGCTTGTGGCTACTGGGAGAGATGGTGCTAGCCCAGAGCGGCTGAGCATGTTTGCATCGAAGCCTTCCTGGAAATGAGCAGCCCGTGATCTCAGCGTTTGGTACAAAGTCTTTGGTGGACTTGTTTCCCACATTGTCCCCTCGCTGTGAAGAAAATCCTTGATAGAGATGACTTAAAGGCTAACTTCCCTATTTTGGGAAGAAAACAAAAATAACAACAGAAAAAACATAGTGAAAAGGATTGACTTGAAGTTTTCTGTATAAAAGACAGCTTAATCCTTAAAATACCAAGTTCTACAAAATATATAAATGTTGACTGGAAATGAGTTTCTAGCAAGCCTGAGATCCTCACAGTGCCTTTTTTCCTGAGCAAGATTTTCTGGCAGGAGCAACATTTTCTAGGGGAAAATGTCACGCTAGGGATAAATGCCTGCATATGAGGCCTTGCTCCATTTGTGAGACCTTGTTCCATTGGGAGCCCCTGCTCCCAGCTGCCTCATCAATGTCCCCCCCATCCATTTTCCAAAGGGAAGTGATGTTGCAGCGGCCTCTTGGACTCATCCTCTGATGCCAGAGGAGTGCCCCAAAACTTTTTGGGGTCACTTAGAGACACTCTCTGATGGCCACCAAGCGCCAYTTTGTGCCACAGAAAACATGACTTAGCACATGGGGAGAGGATTATGATGCTCCTCTCTTGAGCAGGAAGTCAATGTTGCTCAGGAAGTCAGTGTTGCTGCCAACCTTGGCAGTAGCTCTGACTTTCAGGGACGGCGGCTTCTGTGGCACAGCTGGGATTTAATCAACCTCGTCGCACAAATCTCTTGGCTTCACTTCTGTAGCAAAGTTTTTGTCTGAAAAAATAAAGAGGGATCTAGGAGAGCCATCACAAYGGGGCTGAAAGCTGTACTGGAGGTATCTCCCCTGCAGGCACTATCCCTCTGAAAAGGCCGGAGTTTAGTTTAGGTCCAAAAAAACCTGCTGATCTGGAAATAATGGTGCATTTCCGAAAGGGCTGCCCRTCACGCCCAGCCTCCCAGCTGTGCCCCGCATTGATCCAATATTACAAAAAGAAACGTAAATAAAGATTAGCTGCAAAATTATTAGTGTCCACACACGGATTGTGGTGGTGCTCAGGCCATTGAAGGCAGTTCTGGGTCAGAGACATGAGGAGCAGATTCAGCCTTCTGCTCCTTCTGCAAGGAGCAGAGATCAGCCTTCTCCACTGCAGGAATCTCGTGGATCGTGCCTTGCAGGAATACCTCCTACGCATAAATACAGGGAATCCAGCCTCCAACCTGCTTCTTTGGCAGCTCTGCTCACAAGCGGGGAGGGTTTGCAAGAAGSATCCCTTTGCTTAATGGGTTTCGCCAGACCATCCTCTTGACAACAGGATTCCTTTAAGACTGAGTTCAGMTTTAGAAATTATTTTCAGGAGTAATAATGTAGGATATAAGGGATACCAGATCTCCAAAACCGTAATGAAGGAGTCAATATCTTCCTATCTAAAAGCACTCATAGGAAAACCAGGGTTTTCCAAGACGGAGTAGAAGTCATTTAGAGAAACCCTTCAAGAAAGTAGGAGAAGAACTTCCATTTAATTAAGGAGAGAACCCCTCAAATTATTTGACCTCTAATATGGTGTGGAGAAATGGATTCCTACTTCTGTTTCCTTTAAAGTAACCTAAGCCACTTAAGCCTCGAGATGGAAGAAAAAAAAAAAAACAAAACTTTTTTGGTATTTGATGTATGTTTAACTTAAAAATATATTGGGAAAGCTATCAGTTCACTTATGTCAAATTAACATGTTGAACTTTAATATTAAGCAAGCACAGTAATTCCTGTCAAAACTAATGTGTTAATAAGAACAGAGTTATATACTCTTGGTCTATGCCATTTTGAGTTAATTAGAGTACAAGCCTTAATAAAGAGTGACACTTTGTGCGCAATAGCTATCGTTTAAACCCAATGCTCATGTGAAACACCTCATTTAATTTAAAGTCTTGGTATTAGGTAATAGCCAGCTGATAATTTAATGATGTTTAATGATGTAAAAGACAGCTGTGAAATGATGAAGGTGAAACTGATGAAGTGCCTCTGTTTTGGCTCCTTTCCTGCTACTTAGCTACTCTCTGTTGCTTCCCAGCACAAGATKCCAGAAAGCAGCAGCACCCCACAACCACCCTGCGACCACAGAGTTTTTCTGAGTGCTTCTACCCGTTATTTGTAATTCTCTTGACTATTACCGCTCAGTTCTCTCCTTTCCCTGATTTATTTCCTCTATTCTGCTGAGAGACCTTTACTCTCTTTCACCGTTTCCTTTATATCACCCATTATTCAGCCCCCTGATCAGCTCCCCTGATCGTGTGGGCTTTTCATGTGAGGTTGAGAAAGCAGGCATTAAGAAACCTAGGAAAATATGACCAGAAAACCACAGAAAGTGTCAGGCACTGTCAAGGGCAGGTGCAGCCTCTGAACCCTTATTTAACCTAGTTCCATGTATCTTAACACCAGCTTATGGCTAGATATTGTCACCTTTGCATTGGCTGGTTCATGATGCATTGAACTCTCTGCATAGTTTTTTTTTTAAGTGCAATCTAAGAAAAAAAATCAAGAATTTGCTGTTCCACCTACTGAGGAGGATCAATAAAAACACATCTACCTGTGAAATTTTATGTGGAACTTGACTGTTGCTCATCAGTATATAAATGTATAAAAAAATCACAGGATTAGCTTTACACATTGTAGTTTCTAATGCACCATTATTATTGTCAATGTCCTTAAACCACGGACAAAATGGTTGATTTTCAGGTTATCAGACACTACTTTTGCCTTTTGCAAAGCACCCCTTTATATTATGTGCTCCGTCGGTGTCCCCCTCCGGCCACCCTGCTTTGTGCCCCAACTGGCAAAAGCTTTTGATCTTTGCAATTTCTTAGCCTAGAAGAGCAGATTTATCTGTTACAATATCTATTTACCTTGTAGAAATAGCCATATGACCTTGGAAATAGCTTTCATTAGCAGTTCTTGAATTTTCTTTGAATAACACTGGAATATAAGCACAAGCATTAACATTCAAAATGGAGTTTGTAAGATAGGAAATGGTAGATTCAGGTGTTTAATCAAGCAAAAATTAGATTCAGCAGGGAASAGTTAAGCTGTTAACTTGCCTGTGATTCAGATTCAATTTGTTTTGAACATGGATAACATAAAGACTTCCCCCGTCGCTTTTCTCTTTTTGCTGTCTTCTGCAACGGAAAATGTAGTAGGCTGTATCATCTCCTTCCTTTTCCTCTTCTGTATTTTTTTGTCCATTTCCWTAAGTTTGGAAAAGCTAAAGTGGAGAGACTGGGAATTTCTGGAAAGCTGAAGAACTGCAGAAGAGCCCAGTGAAAAAGCTAAGCTCCATGCCATGCTACCACCTRTCACTTTTAAGTTCATAGCATTAAGGGGCAAGGAAAATGAAAGATGATAGGAAATAATGATAATGAGGATAAATTTAATCCATTTCGGTTATTGCCAAACCAAAGTAATTTCAACAGCTCAGAGCATTTCACAAGAATTCACATTCCTCCTCTTTTGTCAAACTCTAAGACATGCATGAAGAATAATAAAAAAGAAATTGGCTTGTACAAGTGTGTCTCATTGGAAATGTTAAGCAATGTTAATGATAACATTGTCCAGTGCCTTAATAAAAATACAGGCCAAGAGACACACAGGCCAGAACCTGGAATCCAAAGCACCTCTCAGCTTTCAGAAAGATTTGACACCCCTGGAGCATAARTGCACACTAGGAAAAAAAAGCACACCTGACTCCTTTCCATCCACACCAACTCTTATTTCATGGCATGGTCAGCATGGATGGTCATGGCAAGYTGCATATGGAGGAGGAGTCTCAGCCCATGGGGTCTGGAGGCCGTCAACTTGCTCTCCCTCCTCAAGCTCGGCAGATGTAGCAGGTACACGCAGATGTGGGAAGCAGATGTACTGAACCATCAGTTAGAGCAAGGACTGTAGCTAGAAAGAAAAATGACCTTAGCCCACTTTTACAAGGTGGCAGAATGGAGAAAGTGTGACAGAGTTCTCACTATGAGGAGCAGACCTTTTGCACATTTGAAACATTCCCATTTTGATGTTCAGAACCTTTTACTGCCTTTTGGACTCAAATCTAGCAGAAAACTTCTTCATATATATATTTTGTGCCAATTTTGAGATAGATATACCATTTTGTGTTGGTTTTGGATGTGAGGCCAAAATTTGCCTACTCACGGAAACTTTAGACCCAGCGTTAACTCTACAGAGGCAACCAGTTCTCCTGAAGGTTTTGAAATACTTTCAGCCCTTTGGAAGAAAAATACGTAAGCCTGTTTTATCATCCGTCTCTCAGAGTAAGACAAAAATGACACTGCTATCTCCTAGGGACCAGTGAAGCTCTGCTAGATACGTGGCTTCTTTGTGAACACCCTTTTTATCCTATGACATCTCCAAAGAAAAGGTCTTTATAGAAGAAGTCACACCAACTGGCATTTTCTTTCATTCCAAACTAAGATGTGAAGGTTATGTACGTAAAATGCATAGCTCTATGTGCCATATTTTTTTCACCAGGCATTTTTTAGGCAAAAAAAAAATGCGCTAAATGCCAAGGCTACAAGTTGTTCAGCAGAACATCCAACTATCATTAATGCAGGTATCCATCCTCTAGTGGAAATGGTCTCCATCAGTCATGGCTTTCAGTATAATTCAGTGGCAGATAATACAAACCAGCACTTTCTCAACTGCAGCGAGGATGAAAAACGACACAGTTCAGGAACATGAAAACTAACAGGCCTTAGGGCTAAAGTTCTGACTGGCTTGAACTGGAAAGCTTGTGTTTTTCTTTCTCGAGCACACGTGTTTGCCAGCTTCAGATGGCACTTACTATTTTTGGTAAASTTGTACACCCTCACACATGCCTCGTCCAGCACCAGCTCAATAGTATAGGATAATCATTTGGTATTAAGTGCTGGCAACAGAGCCAGAAGGTTTCCTTCATGCATCCTCTTACCCCTGCCAAGGCAATCAAATTAATTCTGTTAACAGCCTGCCAAGTCAACTAGCCCTCTATACTGTCCCATCTTAGAAATGAAATCGAGACATTCCTATCAAATCATACTGTTTCCCCACAGAGTGTGATCTCTGGCACACGGCCAGCAGGAATGACTGCTATCATCATGCAATGCCATGCGATGGCTCTAATGAGCTGACATTTCCTGTTGCTAAATTGCCATGTCCGCAAGCCAAAGCAAATAGTGTTCAACCTCTTCAGAGCCCAGACGATGTTTCCTGACTTTTCCTTTCGCCTGCTGTTTCCTCACTTGCAGCTTTTCACTGCCCAGCCCTGCCTGTTGAAACCAACGTGATCCCGAGCCCATGTGTGCTCGTCAATGTGGGCAACTCTGCCGCAGCAGAGCCACGCGGCCATGTGGGCTTCAGCAGTGTTCACACGTAGAAAAATTGCAGGCTGTTTGGAGTAGAAAAACAATCAACCCGCAATGCTCCATGATATATACTCCTAGTTCCTTTTTATTTTTGTTTTCTTTTTCCCTCTATTTGCACACAGGAGGCCACTAGCTACAGGGTAATGTAATTATTCTATGTTCTTGTTTGTTATGCTAGGATGGAGTTGAGAAAGGGATTTTATCCAGCAGCATTATATTGCACATTAAGATGGACTGGAGAGGGGCCTGTTCCGAGGCAGCTTCAGTCTTTACTTTTGCTCTGGTAGATGAATTTCATGTACCTCATGCAGGACTTGCAGACATTTTTCCTAATCCACTGCACTGGTAGTCTTGGCTCTCCTCCATCAACTTAACTATTAGGCCTTAAAAGTCTGTTATACATTTTATAGACTTGGAGGAAACTTATTTTTCTAGCATGTCGACTATTTGCAAGGGGCTGACATTTACCTTAAAAACATTCATCTGTTCAGTTCAGTTTGCTCTCTTTTTCAGACACATTTCATATTAGCGACTGTAATAAATAATGAAAAAAAATATATACTACCTTTTTCTTTGGAAATGAACAGAGTCAAGGACTGAAAACTATGTACTAAAACAAAGTGCTTCCTCTGACAGTAATGTGCAATATGCAGCAATGACAGTGAAAAATCCTGGCTTCACCTATACTGGTAGGAACTGAACATGTCTTTATAAGTTCCAAATGTCTACATGATAAGCTAAAGTAAGTTTCCTCTTTTTTTTCTTTAGGGATGAATTAGGTGACAAGGAAAGAAGGGAACAGTGAAAACACAAACACTAGGATTATAAACTCCAGTTATTGGTAATTCAAGAAGTTTTCAAAACAGGCTTTTTTTTTCACAGAATGAGAAGAAGAGGGTATTGCCTCGAAGAAATCTCAGATAAAGAAAGTTCTTATCATGTCTTACCAAAGACATCTCCCGTAATCTATCTCTTCCCTGACAGATCTGTGATAAAGAAATTAGCRCACTATAGTTCAATGCAAGCACTAATAGCTTATATTCTTTATAATTTTGAAAGCATCCACGTGCTCCCCATATTAGTATGACAAAAATTACCAGGAGGTTTAGGACATGGGTAAAATTAATGAAGTAAATAGGCAATGACATAGATGAATAAACAAATTTGTATAGTTGCATAGAATTTAGCTAGCATTTTGCCATTATCTGATGTTTTTCTATGTACTGGTCCATATCTTTTAACCTGTCAGATCATGAGAAGGCCAAAAACAGTCATATACAACCATCACTCTTTCAGGCTTCTCTTTAAAAGACTTTCTGTAACAAAAAGGCAGCGTAAATATAATGACATGCCAGGTGTACAGCATAAATAAGAATGCAGGGTTGAATAAATCAGGTTATATCAGAAAAAAGATCTGCCTCAGATCTCAACAGAGAGCTGAAAATCAATTTGAGTTTTTTTTGACTTGGCCAGTCCTAAGAAGTAGATTGGATCTGTAAAAATAAACTTGTATGTGAAATTCAAAGAGTTCTAATGCTGAATAATTTGGACATATAACAATGGAAATATAACATGGATACAGCATGTTATACATGATACAGTACAGTATTAACTTGATGGTTAGTATATCTGTCTCCAGGCCCAAGCTGGACAGGGCTTAAGGCCTTACGTAAAATATTACTAAGTATTTTGAACCTGTCACATTATTTTGTTCAAGTTTAGCTCAAGCTCTGGATGAAAGCTGGCTCGAGTGCCACCATGAGAGCTGCAACGGAGGAATGTGGAAGTGGTGCAGGACAGAGGTAACGCTCGGAGCTCTGCAGGACGGAGCTCTCCTTTAGAGTGACAATATGTGAGCTCAAGTCCTAAAAGGAGGGACCCAATTAAAAACTAGTTAAGAATACTAAGCTTACAAGACTGAGATAGACAAATAGGCAAACAAACCCTGGAAAAATACACACCCCAAGCAAATCTCCTCCGGACCAGGAACAASATGCACTTTTCTGTGTTCAGTAGCTTTTCATGGAGTTCATAAAGTACAGCARCTGGAGGAGAGAGTTTTAGTTTAAAGCTTGTCTGGAGAAACTACCATGTGCCTCATTTCCCACCTAGATATATAAGCCTGTTTGATATTCCTGTTTGAAAAGAAAGCTTCCCAATTGCCATCAGACCAAAAGTTCAAGGTTTTATTACATACGGTAAATTAGAGGTTGATATTACAAACCTTTTATCAGTGAAAAGACTATGCCATTTTAAATTTTAATAATCTAGCAAGTGTTCTGGTACCACTATGGCACTATGGTACCACTATGGTACCACTATGTTCTCAGTGGGATAACAAKCAAAGGATATTTTGCGATTGGCCTCAGTGTGGAAGTCAGTTTTGGTATAAAGGTAATTTGCCTTGTATTCTGAAAAGCAAAATTTGAAATAGAATTATTTTCACTATTATTGTGTTAATGCAGATACAGTCTTTTATAGCAAGTACATTATATATATGTTGTTACCTGCCGAAACATTGCCTCCTTCTGATTCAGTGGCGGTGTTCACA